CCGTGACATTATTGGTGTTGGATTCAAGTGTCGGTTTTGCAAGAATGCTCCATTGTGTCGTGCCATCTACAGGGCCAAGATGTACTATTTTCTTCTACGGGATGGAAAGGTTGGTAGAGCTGCAGTACATATTGGCACGCACACACATCCAATGCAGGAAGGAATACAAAAAAGTTCAATCAACCATTTCAAAGATGCAGTGCAGATAGAGACTGTGAGAAACTCATCTGCAACTCCGAAGCATGTTCAAAAGACAGTGCTCAAGGATTTTATCGTAAATACTTTACTTGATCCGGACTACAAGAATACTCAACTGGATGAGGCTAACTTGCGGGAGTTACTACGACATATGCAACCTGCAACTAGCCTCAGGAGGTATGAAAATATTATTACATACTTTTCAATAATATCTCTCTTACATTTTGTTTTATTTAGGATAAAGTTTTGGATGTGTGAATCTCGAGAGGGGAAACTCCAATAAAAAATCGACTCAATCCTTGAACTAAAACGGACTTGTCCCTATGAGTTTATCCATGGGAGTTTATTTCTAGATCAAGTCGTTAGTGAGCAAGAGTGCCCCTTCGTTTTCAAAATGTCTACCATGGGCCCTGCCTCTGGTGTGGATCTTGTTTCCCGAATGGATATGTCTGGGTCGAGTGACCTTGCTAATGCATGGGTACATTTTGACCATATGGAGCGGGTGGCGGGTTGGACAACCATGGGAGCTCATGTGTATGATCCGAGTTAATTTTTTTTCTCATTATCTTAAAATGGTTTTAAACATTGCACTTTTCACAGGCTACGTTGTAACTTGACAATTGCAATGGCAGAGTTTAAAGTACAAGACCAAATGGCTCAAGAAATATTTTGGAAGTCCCTCTCCGACATTGTATTGAAGCGGACTGGTAAGCCTGCCAACTTTCGCGGTTTCATGGCAGATGGGGTTGGGGCTAATTGGAATGGTGTCCGGGCAGTCTTTGGGAATGGTCTACCCCTAGAAGGTCGTGAGAGGACTTGTGAGTTCCATTGGGCTCAGAGCCTAAACCAACACTGCCACCTTATCAAGCCAGATTTCCAATTAGCATTTAAGGAGTTGTGCAAACAATGGCAGGCTGCACCTTCTGAAGAAGAGCATGAGGCAAAAGCAAACGAGATCCAAATGTGGTGGCATGAAGATGGCCATACTGACGTAAGTTGTCTACCACAACTTGAGTCGTGGTTGGGGTGGTGGGAAGTTAGAATATTCCAATGGGGACATCACTTTTTTCAGGTTGGTTTTTCTTTTTTTCCTCTCTTTTTTTTGCTTTTTAATATCATCTTTTTATAAAGATCAACCACTTGAGGATCTTGCATACACCCTAATTGTGAATCTCTTAGAGAGTAAACATTAGAGCTGGCGTTCCTCTGAGGTAGGGAAAGGGAAGATGAGTCTATATGAAACATGTCTATCAGATTTGATATGCGCTGTAGAGCAGTCTTCAAAAGCCTTGGCATTTGAGGAAGGAAGATACATGGGAACAGGACCTTCGGTTGAGATGTTACACGATCGGATGAAGAAGAAAGTGACTCCACCAGCACGAACAATGGCAATTGCAGTGGAGGAAGTGGTCCGCGGCACATCTATAGAGTACACTCCTCGGGCTTCTGTTGGTGATATGAAGACCGTCCGCTCAAAGCGTCGATTTTCCTTTGCTAGTGAAGATGTTGGCACGGATCTTGGAGCAAAAAGCTCTCACAGGCCTGATGTTGAGTATCATTCTGCTCCAAGACATCGCCCCAGAACCGAACCACCTCAAGTGGCTGATGAAGAAAGTGCATCACAGCAGGTTGAAATTGCTTATCATAGTGTGGAGCCGAAGCAATAGGCAATCCGTCGAGTGCCAGCGAAATCAAATGTAAGGTGTGTGGGGATGCTTCCAAGGGGCAAGTGTTGGGCTTGGATCCATGGTGATAAGTCTGCTTCTGTTCCAGCCCCATGTTTCCATGGGGAACAAAAGCAAGCAGGATTTTCAAGATGGTGTTGGTTATATTGCTGCAACTCTGATGTCAACTATACAAAGCGGCTTGAAGACACTATAGTGACAAAACCTGATGCAGTACCTAAAGAATGGCCGGTTGCTAATGGGGTTGTGCTCACCTCAGATGAGATTGAAAACCTTGAGAAATCTGGTTTCAATCTTGAGAGGAGAGTTGGAGATATGAGTGATAGAACCAGAACTATTCCTACAAAGATGCACAGGAGGCCAGCACGAAAAGGTAAGGCAGTTAAATTTATTGGTACCGTCTCCAAGCAAAAGCAAGGTAAAATAAACTTGGCTCAAACACTTGAGTGTGAGATTCTCTCCACGAAGTACATCACTGCGCTCGCAAAGGAATACACAGTCAAAACAGAAGGTGAAGAGTACACAATTGCCATTCAAGACTTTTCTTCTTGCACATGTTCAGACTTTACGAAGCGCGAAGAACATGGGAAGGCATATGCTCCTTGCAAGCATATGTACTACATCTTCATCAACATTTTGCACCAGGATCCTAAAGTGGATATTCATATACACCAAGCAAGCCTTACTATTGCCGAGTTGCAGAAAACTTTTGGAGCTAATTAGATTTTCTAGCACTATCGATGTTTATTCTCTATCAATAATATAAACTTATATAATTAATAAAAATATTTTATTATTTCACTTTTCATTTCATATACTTGTGAGGTTCTTTTCGCAATACTGCCCATAGTATTTGTGAGTCTCCATTTTTGTCTTTACCTTCTCAAAAAATATTTCGTGATAGTCTTTTGGGTGTATGATGTTATAATGTATTGTGAGAGCATATGTACCATCACAGTTGTTTTTTTTTCCTTTCAAATGGTTATATGGCCTTATATAGAATCTTAATTCAAATTTAATAATTTTAAAATTCTGACAAACTTGACATTTACTAGCTAGAAAGCACAGAGTACAAATTTAAAGAAGTGACAAGAATACTCTTTTTGCAAACATTTTATTTTATATTCTAACAAACGTCTCTATTATTGCATGTAGTAAATATTTAAATTATTAGAACAAGAAGTGTCCTTTAGAACATTTTTATCTATATAATATATAGAGAGTTATGAAATTATTAAGTTCGCCATAACTTTAAAATTTTAAAGTTTATAATGTTTGTACTAAATTACAATTGAAAATTGAGCTCAACTCGTGAGCTCAACTCTTCAGCTCGTGAGCTCAAATATGGTCCACACTCTACTTTTGGAACCCCCTGCAGCCCCCTCCCCTAGGAGACACATGCTTTGGGCTTTCACCCCATGACCTATATTAGTATTCGGACTCGGTCTCGGACTCAATCTCGGACCCAACTTCAGACTCTGTCTTGGACTCGATCTTGGACTCGGTCTCAAACTCAGTCTTGGACTCGGTCTTAAACTTGGTCTCAGACTTGGTCTTGAACTTGGTCTTGGAGTCGGTTTCGAACTCGATCTCAGACTTGGTCTTGAACTCGGTTTTAGAGTTGGTTTTAGCCTTCAGCACCTTAGAGAGTTGGTTTCTTACAATGAACTTTCAGCATTTGAATTGAAATGATTATTTAGCATTTTTTCAGTATGCATATGTCACAAGGGTGTAGAGTTTTGTTAGTGTTTCACCATATAAACTTTTATATAATTATGATCCAATATTACCAATGGAGCTAGGTTTACTTTTCTGATTACCACAAGTTGCCGATGCTAGGTCATAGGATCAATACTTGATGATCATACTTTCACTTATCCGAGCAAAATTTGCCAAACACCTATTCCATGTAGAAGTGGGACATCAATGGTGTTATAACTCCCATATCATCCACCTTTAAAGTACAAAGTGGATGATTTTATATTAGTCTGTTTTCCCCATTTCATGATATATGGTTTATCTAAGGGGCTCTTTATTCAATGGAAAGGATTGTATTAGGTGTTGTAGCAAATTGGATAGCAAGTTTATGAAATTCGGCATGACATTTAGCAAACCGATATTCTAGAAATTATGCATGTGCAACAGATAAAACACTCTATATAACAAAATCAAAAATAATTGGCACCACCTACAAATTCACCGATGCTTCCTCTTGATATTCTTCTACATCCCCACCCATCTACAAAAGAACCTTGATGGTCTTTCATCATTTCCAGAGGAGGGGAGGACATGAGGTCCAAGTGTACAATTATGATGCCATATGTTAATATTAACATAGTGGTATTGTGGTAATTGTTGAACTGGTTTCAATTTGGACTACTCATTCTTGTATATAAATTAGGGTTTTTGGGCTAATTGATTGTATTCCCTTTCCATTTCCTATGCACTCACAAATTGTAATTATATATTTTGCATTATATTTATTTGCAATTAAATATGTTGTAATATAAAACTATGATTTATTAATTTGTTTCACTGACCGAAACACTAATACTCTAGCTTCTTGTTGCAATTTAAACATTTATTTATAGTATCAGATGACAAAGAAGCATGGAAATTCTTCATTATTTATTGTCTTTATTAGATCTTGTTTCAAGCAATGACTGACTGAAGGGGAACTGAAGTGCTTGTCTTCCTAGCACTAGTTGTTCTCAAGCGCACAAGAGGAATTTGTACCGTGGTCACCAGTCGGTCTTGCTCATGATTAACACATTGCTTCTCACTCTCCAGCCAGCACCTTCCAATGCTTATGCTACTTGCTACTTTGTTACGCATTGCTTTGCAAAAGTATTGCTGCACTGGCATGGCTGCAGAGAAACAGTTCTAGGGTACTGCAACTTTGAAACAGCTGCTTTTAGTGCTGTTGTAGTAGTGGCGATGATTTTGCAATTGTAATTGTTCGTGGTGGTGTTCCAGGCCAAGAAGCAAGCAAGTGAGACGATCCATTTTGGCTCGGTTGATCACTACCCCGTCGAAGAAGCTGAAGCCAGTTGTTTTGCTCCTTTCTTGCAATTGGAAAAGGTTTATGGAGGAGTCTTATAGAAGAATGTACTCTGACTATAGCTTGGAGTAAATATTAGCTAGCTGCACAAATGCAGCTCCATGCTTTGGATTCTGGCCAACAACAAACCTAGTTGCATCAATGGCTTGCTTGAGCTCGTTCTTCCCGGGCCTCATGCAACTCCTTAGAAAACAGATCCATTCATACTCATCAGGCACAAAAGGCATGTTTGTAATGAGGTCCTCACCATCTAAGAGTCTCCCAGACCTGCAAAGAACATCGATCAAGCAACAGTAGTGCTGCTTTGTAGCAGCAACCTTATAGTCTTGTCTCATGGACACGAAGCAATTCTTGGCGCTTGAAACATTCCCATCGTGTGCGCAAGCGAGCAAGAAGGCCACGAAACAAGTCGAATCCGGAACCTCCACCACCCTCATCAGATCAAACACATCAAACGCCTCCCTGGAATGCCCGTTCCGGGCATAAGTGGAGAGCATAGCCGCCCAAGACATGGTGTTCCTCTTGGGCATTGTGTCGAAGACATGCCTGGCTTTAGAGATGTTTCCATTTTGCGCGTATGCAGATAATAGCGCGTTCCATGACACTTGATCTTGCTCGGGCAAGGAATCAAACATCACCTTGGCCTCTTCCACATGCCCGTTTTGGGCATACGCTCCCAGCATGGCGGTCCAAAGCACGAGATCCAGCCGTTGGATCTGATCAAACATACATTTCGCCTCTTCCAGGTTTCCCCGCAGGGAAAACGCGGCAATCAGGGCCGTCCACGAGACGTGATTCTGGGACGGAATCGTGTCGAAGATCTCCCGAGCGGAGGCCGTATGCCCGTACTGGGCATATCCCGAAAGCATCAGCGTGCACGACACCATGTCGTGCTCTCTCATGCCATTCAGCACCAGCCTGGCGTCTACTAGGCGGCCAGCGTGGACGAATCCAACCAGCATGGCGTTACACGACACTATATTCCGCTGTGGCATGTCATCAAACACGCGCTTTGCCTCGGTGACGTGTCCGGCGTGCGCGAAGGCCGACAGCATGGAGTTCCACGTCAGCATGTCTCTCTCGGGCATCCCGTGGAAGACACTCTCGGCTTTCTCCAGATGCCCTGACGTGGCATATGCTGCCAGCATGGAGTTCCACGTGACTTGGTCGTGAAGAGGCATCGTGTCGAACATACGCTTGGCGTCGTCGTGTTGGCCGTTTTGCGAATACGCAGCTAGCATGGTATTCCAAGTTACATCGTTCCTTTCCGGTATTAAGTTGAAAGTCTTCTTAGCGTCGTGAAGATGCCCGTTTTGGGCATATGCCGCAAGCATTGCGTTCCAGGAAATCTGGTTTTGCAATGGCATCGATTCAAACACTCTCCTCGCTCCAAACACATCCCCGTTTTGTGCAAATGCCGAAAGCATCGCATTCCAAGAGATTAAATCCCGCTCTGGCATCGTTTCAAAGATCTCGCAAGATTCATCCAGATGCCCAACTTGGGCATATGCAGAGAGGATGCAGTTCCAGGAGGCCTGGTTTTGCTGCGGCATCTGGTCGAAGATGGCTCGCGCGTCTCTGACTCGCCCGCCGTGTACAAACGCCGCCAGCATCGAGAACCACGAGACGAGATCCTTCCCTGGCAGCCGATCAAACACGAGCTTGGCCTCTCGCAATTGCCCCCGCTGGCCGAACGCCGAGAGGAGGAGGTTCCACGAGAAGCCATCGCGCTCGGGCATGGCGTCGAACACCTGCCGGGCATCGTCCAGGCGCCCGTTGGAGGCGTAGGCGCAGAGCATGGCGCCCCAGGAGAAGGTGTTCTTGGCGGGCATGGCGTCGAAGAGCCATCGCGCGCGCTGGGGGCTGCCGCACTTGCCATACGCCTCGATGAGCTTGTTGGCGAGGAAGACATCGCCCTGGAGCTCGCGGCGCGCGCGCTCGTGGATCTGGATCGCGTGAGAGAGGCTCGCGCAGCGCTGGATCGACTCGAGGCACCCGCTGCGGTCCGCAAACCCTGGTCCCATTCATCACTTCGTGTTGACTGGTGGATTTGACTGGGAGTTGATTCTTTCCGGCGGCAATGCGATTTGATGGTTGACTATTTTACGACCGTTGACTAAGATCCAGTCAAACGAAGCACTGCTCTGTTTTCCACGTGGGGGATTTCTGTAGACATTGCGGCCCACTGGGCCAATAATTTTCCACCAAATTTCTATTTGGGATTCATCAAATTTTTCTGTGTCTGGACAGAAGTGATCGATCGAATCTGTTCTATCCAGATGTTATTCCGCTACTGTAGTGGCCAGAGCCGCCACTCTCTTGACGAGCTGTTCTCGATTCGCGCCCACAATCCGGCCGATCGCCTCCTCGTCCTTGATGAACACGAATGTGGGCATTGCCTTGACCTCCAATCGAGTGGCAATTTCCTGTGGATTTGATGTTTTTGGTCAGATAGAGCGAGTGTTAGGAGCAACCAACTGGATCATGAGATCATGAATGGTAGAGATGGAGATAGAGAGAGGTCATGAATGGAGATGGAGATAGAGAGAGGAGTGGTAAAAGATCTGGGGGGAAAAAATATCTAGGCTGGGGGAGCCTTTCTGGTTTTCACTTACCTTGAGCTCATCCACGTCCACAGTGAGGAAGATGAGCTTGAGGAATCGCGTGGACGCCTCGCGGAATGTGGAGGCCATGTACTTGCAAGGGGCGCACCAATCCGCGGAAAAGTGCGCCACAATCTAAGATACGATCACACAGAGAAGACGACGAACAGTTAAAACCTCTCGCAAGAGAGAAAGGAAAGGAGCAAAAAAAGAAAAAAAGAAAAAAAAGAGGGAGAATCTCAATCTCTATATTCACGAGCGCTAGAGAAGGTATTCGCTGGGAAGATCAAAAACAGGGGGAGATCAATCAAAGCGAGGGGGAGAGAAGCCATTTTTGCTTACGATCGCGTCTTGCGATTTGGCTTGCTTGAGAATTCCGTCCCAATCCGAGATAGATTCCACCATCACTACCCGCGACGCCATGGAAACAATGTGAGCAAATGCGCGAGTGGTTCGCTCGTTGAAAAACCAGTACTCTTAGGCGCCGTCCCACATGGACCACGGAGGACTTTATAAAAGCACACAAAGTGGATCATTTTGGATGAGACATTCCGTATGAAGAAACGCATCGTCCGTCAATCTCTGGAGCATATTCTGTTTGTGAGGCACATTCCGGCTGCCGTATATTCTTGGCATATTGCCGGGAGCTTTAGGGTTCTTCGCGAGATGGAGTGTATCTTCGGCTTCGTGGGCGATGGCTTCGTCATTCTTGGCGCCGACACCTCCGTCGTGCAGAGCATCGTCGTGCAGAAGACGACCGAGGACAAGATCTTGCAGCTCGACTCGCACAAGCTCATGGCGACGAGCGGCGAAGCCGGTGATAGGTGAGCTCGATCAAGCTCCATAGATCTAGGGATAGTGAGAAATTCTTCTACAGGGTTATCTTCTCGGAGTACATCCAGAAGAACATCAACCTGTACAACTTCCGGAACGGGATTCCGCTGTCCACGGCCGCGGCCGCAAGCTTCACTCGGAACGAATTGGCTGTGGCGCTTCGAAAGGTATTTCTTGTGCTAGTTCTTTTCCTGGAGCCTTGAAGATCTTTGTTTCAGAACCCATACTATGTGAACTTGATGCTCGGAGGATTTGACAAGGGCAAGGGGCCATCGCTTTACTTCATGGATTACATCGCCACTCTCCATCAGCTGGAGAAGGGAGCCGTCGGCTATGGTACGTAGAACTCCTTTCTCGTTTTCTTGCTTTCTTCGTTATGATCATGGTTTGTTCTCGCATTTTCTTCTACGTGATCAGTTCTCTTGTTCGTTCTTAGTGGTTTTCACTTTCGTTTGTTCTCGCATTTTCTTCGACGTGATCATAGAGTTCTCTTGTTCGTTCTTAGTGGTTTTCATTGCGTTTGTTCTCGCATTTTCTTCTACGTGATCATAGAGTTCTCTTGTTTGTTCTTTGTGGTTTTCACTTTTGTTTGTTCTCGCATTTTCTTCTACGTGATCATAGAGTTCACTTGTTCGGTTTTCACTTAAGTTTGTTCTCGCATTTTTTTTTCTACGTAGTGGTTTTTTTGCTTGTTTTATCTGATTCTATTTCTCGTCCTGGTCAGGAGAATTTTGTATCGCTGCTTTGGTTCTTCTCATCGCTTTTGCTGATGCTCGCTCGTTTCAATCGCAGGAAGCTACTTCGTGTTGTCTGTCATGGACAAGTACTTCCGCAAGGGGATGTCGGTGGAAGAAGGGATGGCTCTCGCTGACAAGTGCATCGCAGAGATCCGCAAGCGATTGATCGCCTCGCCTCACAGCTTCGTGCTCAAGATCGTGGACAAGGACGGCGCTCGAGATCTTGCGTGGAGGAGCCTGGAGCCAGCTCCTTCAGCGGGACCTCCTCCGGTTATCAATCCGGGAGAGGCATCCACATCCATGCAAGTCCAAGGCTGATCCTCCGTTCACTTTGTTCCTCCAAAACACGGTAAGAAAGCGAGCTTCTAAGTTGCTTTGAGTGACTCCTCCTTGATTTTTCTGTAGATTGCGCAGAGCCGCGAAGGTTTGAATACCTGGAGCACACCAAAAAAAAAGTTCTTTTTTTTTTCCTCCGAGGCCGGGAATTCTCATACCTTGGCTTTAAACATGAAGTTTGGAGGTACATTGATGATCACGTAGTTCTCCTTGTCGTGATGATACTTCTCGAATTCCTAGCCACAAAGAACAAGCTTAGCTATGGTGATATTTCATGCTAGTGGAAGAAATGGTTACCTGGGGCATGCCGTGTGTGGTGCTCGGACTCCATGGCACCGGCTGGAAGAGCTCTCCAAGAAATTCCACGCCGCTGGTCTCCGAAATCCCTGCTTCTTTCGCGACCTGGTCGATGAGGATGAATCCATGAGGCGATCGATCGAGAATTTCGTGCCAAGATCACCTGTTTGCAAAATGCTTCCGAGCTCAAGAGGCTTCGCAGCGCGCTATCCCGCTGGAATCGCACCAATCTCGCGGATTTAGCTTCTCCTAGAGCGAAGGAACCATACCTCGGCGTCGAGCTCCACGGCGCTATCGTAGGATTCGTTGATCTTGAACCCCATCGCCAGGATTCTCGCTCGCCTTGCGTGGATACACGATTTCTTCCAGGCCGCACATCGTTGCGAGGACGATGCTGACCTGGCGCTATTGTCATGGCGATAGAATCGCAGCGTGGATGAGGGAGGAGAAAGAAAGAGAGACGCCATAGCCGCTTGTTAGCCACGAAATATTTCTTTTCAAAGCTCTGTGGGGGCCTTGTCCTCGAGTGGAACGTTTTAGGTCCCACAGAGTAAATGGTATCCACAATCCAGCTCCTGGACCGCATCGCCCCCCATGGCGCGCTGGCGCAGTCCACAATCCTCGTGAGGTTTGGCGCTCCTCCTCCGCGATCGATCGATCCAGGCCGTTTTTAGGGTTCCTGGCGCTGTGAATCGTCGTCCCGATCGCGCTCCACCGGCGCATTGCTGCTGATCATGCGATTGCCGCGCGCGCGGAGCCAGCTATGGGCGTGCTGTCGAGATTTGTGAAGAGCAGCGAGCGGAATCACGAGGTGTTTGCGACGTGGGTAGCGCTAGGGATTCTCTTCCTCTACTGGTGCCTGGGATTCATTGTTGCGAGCGTCAAGAGGATCTTTGGAAGGAAGGCGAGGGCATCGAAAGCGCGGTCGTGGTAAATTTATAGCGCTCGTCTCGTTGGTGGTTTTCATTTCTCTTTTCTTTGGCAGTGTTGAAACAAGCAGGTGTCCCGCGACAGCGTTGGAAAGCTTGATAAAGGAATCGGAGCTGCGAAAGCTCATAGAGGAGCTAGACGAAGTCGATCAAAGCAGTGGTAACTGGAGCGTTGTTCTTGACAAACGCAACGATGGTGTCTCATATTTTGCAAAGCGTCGTGAACCAAAGGTGACAATTCAATCTCTGACACTTCCAACGTTCTAAGTTTTCGATTTTCTTTCATCTTCTCTTTGGTGGACAGGACGGAGGGCCGACCGAGTATCTCAGCACTACAACCTTTGAGAATTGCACGGCCGAGTTGCTTCGCGATTTTTACATGGACAACGAGTTTCGTTTGCAGTGGGATAGCACGGTTTTGAAGCACGAGCAGCTGGCTTTGTGTCTCAAATCCGGAACGGAGGTCGGCCGGACCGTGAAAAAGTTTCCGCTGATGATGGCGAGAGAATACGTTCTCGCGTGGAGGCTTTGGAAAGCTGCGGAAAACACATACTTCTGTGTCATCAAGGTATCCTCTCCGGCTGAGTTTTTCTTTTTGTATCTATGAGCTTTTCTCTCAGGCTTGCGAACATCCTGCTGCTCCAAGGCGACAGGAATTTAAGCGGGTCAAAGAGTACCTATCGGGCTGGAGAATTCAAGCAGGTTAGAGTGCTCTGGCTCTCCAGATTTCTCATGTTTTATGGTATGCCTTCTCTCTAGTTCCTGGCAGCAATGCTTGCGAGGTGAAAATGCTTCACAGGGAAGACATTGGCGTCGGGAAAGAGATGGCAAAAATGGCCTTCTCTCGCGGCATCTGGAGCTACGTCAACAAGATGGAACACAACTTACGATCATACAAGAGCTCCGGCTTGGACAAAAGGCGCAAAGCAAAGCCCGACGCGGTGACTCTTTGCAACAAGGTATGGGACGCCGTGTGTATCTTCCATTGCTTGATTCGTGGTTTTCACAGATACCTTTGGAGCTCGAACGAAAGGACTTCTTCGCTAGCTCACGCTCGCATAGCCAAAGCTATGGTGGCGGCAGCGCAGATCGAACAAGCCAGAATGGAAGCGATCGTCACAAACCAGTGAGTTTCCTGATGCAAAGTGTATTTCTTCTAGGCTGGGCAGTGGTGCTCGGCCATGGTTCTAGTTCTATAGGTTCCAAGGTCGCGGCTGCCGTGTTTATGAACAAGGCTGTGCGGCGAAGAAGGCAGCTACCGCGAGGAGGCGGCCACCAACCATGTCGCTACATTTCCAAGAGCTTTTCAATCCATCGCTAGTGTTTGATCCGACGCTCAAAATCCTGCCACGACTGCGGCTGCCTACTTGGCCCTAATACCAACTAGGCCCTTTTCTTTTACCTTTACATTTCCCACGCTTCCCCTTTAAATTTTATTTAGGGCTCTTGGGCTATGGCGAGGGCTTCTCTCTCTGAGGAAGATTGGGTAAACGTCAGCTCCAGCGTTTCTGTTCACTGGAAAAGAAGGAGCCAAGGTGCGTTTCTGAGCCGATGTTCCGGATCATTGATCAACATGAACTCGTCCTCGATCTGCCTGACGAGGATCGACTGAAGGTCCTCTGGCGGAGATAGTCCCGGGGGGGCAGCTGGTACGCTACTCCTAGAGAACTTCCAGAGCCGCCGGAAGTACTTTCAGGATGGAAGGCTGGAGTTCGACAGGAAAGATTGTTCCCGGCACTTGTTTCCAGTGTCTTTGACGATGGCTGCCACCGCTCGAAACATGACCAGAGCGAAGAGAACGTGGCGACCAAATGGCGGTCGGGATCAAGTGTGACTTGTCGATTGTTCTTCTTCCAAGATCTCCGGTATGGGAGGAGGCATCTTGATCTTCTGAGAGGAGATGTTCCGGTCGAGGATGTGTCTATGGATCCCATTTCTGGATCGCCTCTCGAGGCTCAAGCACGGATTCTAGCTGCCGGCTTTCGGATCCTCCAGAGGCAAAGCTCTTGCAAGATTTCCCGGATTCTGGCTACCTTGCTCGCTTGCAGTCGAGAGCAAGCTTGAAGTTCTTGGAAACAATCCAGTTTGTGCGATGATCTCCTATCCTGGTACGTGTGTTTCCTTTCTTTGTTCTTGATTCGTGATTGTTTTGTCTTGCAGTTATCGTCGCTAAAGTCGGCTCTTAGTATGTTTTCGAGGAGGAGATCAGCCGTGAAGTGCGAGAGAAAGCAGCCTTGGAAGACGTGACCGGGTCTGCGCTGCGAACCGGCCATAGATTTGCGTCTTGGCGTGACGAGAAGAACCGCTAGTAAGTTTCGCAGTTCTTATTTCTTGCACTAGAGACTGATTTTCTTTCTGGCGCGCAGTTTCTTCCGGAGTTCACGGAGTTGACGTTCGTCGGTGTTTGGTCTGGAACGCCGGCTTGTGTCGAATTACAGTCTAGCGACGTCTACAGACCATCCAGGTTTCTCGAGTTCTTCAGGTATTGACATTGTCATGGTTTTCTCCCTCTGATCGTTTCGCTCATGCGTGCTTTCATCCGCAGGGATGTGATCAACGAGATTCCACTGCCTGATTCGAGCTACTGGCACGATGGCGAGTGTGCTCCTTTCCGGCGCTGGCTTGGACACCATCTTCGCTTGATCGTGTCGAAGTTCCCGGAGGAAACTTGGAGCAAAGCCTGGCGCGCATGGATTGACGAAGCAAGGGAGGAAGCTGGATCCATTTTACCACTCGCGGTAAGTTCTTCTTTTTGTTTGACTAGCGAAGAAAATGCGAGAAGTTTATCTGTAGATAGAACTAAATCGCGATTAATTCTAATGCGTTGTTAGCTTATCTTAATGTGAGTTCTCCCTAGGGCGACCGCCTTTAAGCATCGCGGCAAACAAATGTGACTCACTCTTTTCTCCTCCCAAGCTCGCGATTCTTTGCCCTGATCGTCCTTATTTCGTTGCCGCCACGCCTAGGTCGGCGATCGCGTCGCCCGGGCGATTCCTTTCCTGCATTGCCGCGACTCGTCGGCTGATCGCGGCGCCCGATCGGTGAGCTTTACGATCACGCAAGCGCCGAGCTTTCTTTCTTTCTCGTTTCTTTCTTGCCTCCTCTCGGCAATGGCTGCGCGGTCGCGATCTTTGCCCTGATCGGCCGAACCGCTTCCCTCGATCGCGGCCCTCGATGCAGATTGTATGGGGGAAGAGCAAGAGCAAGAGGGAGGATTCCGGGGAGCTCGAGCGGGAGTACGAGTCCGTTCTTCTGGACAGGCAGGAGATTTGCCTCTACGATTTCATCCATCTCAGGTCCCGTGACCCGGAGCTCCCGTTTGTGGGCCTCGTCGTGCGGCTGTGGGAGAATCGCATCACGAAGAAGGGGAATGTGGTCGTTCGGTGGCTCTATCGGCGCGAAGATCTCGACATTGAGGTGGATGCCGGCGACCAGGAGCTCTTCCTGGCGCTCGGCAGTGGGAATGGCGCCGAGGACTCCAACGATCTGGTATGTATGAAAACATTAGTTTTTTGCTTCGCCGTTCACGATTCTTGTCCTGCCACCCAGAATGTCGTGGAGGAAAAGTGTGCGGTTAAAGTCTTGTACTGCCCAGAAGGAGTTGCGAACTGGGCGCCCACGAAGGAGGAAATTAGTGGAGCTCGCTACTACGTCTCGAGGTGCTACGATTTCCTTCTCGGAGAAGTTCATTGCAATCTCAGAGAAGCGCTAGAGCGAATTGGAGGTGAGTCGGATAGACAAAGAGTTTATGTATGCTGTTTATAGTTTAAAGTTGCTTTGTGTTGAACGGTGTTTCTTACAATGCAGCTGTGAAGAAATGCCCACGGAGGCCGGCGGATGATCGTCTGGAACGTCCAGTCAAGAAAAAACTGGTTGTGACCAACGAAGCCGCTCCACAGGTGATTTTCAAGTTTTGCTTTCTCATTTACCTTGCAGCAGAAGCCTGTGCCGGTTTCAACGCAGGAAACACGACCAGAGAAGGAGAAGCGTCCGGCGCTCAAGAACGCGTTTAAGAAGCTGGGATGGAACGATAAGCTGGACGAAGCATTCGACAAAGGCAAGGTCATCATGCTGATGGGATTTGGCACTGGCTACACCTCTGAAGAGCTGAAGGTACTCTCAGGAATCACGGATGTCTTCTTGCTGAAGTTCTATGCAGGAAGCCTTGGTGTTCCTTTTCAAAGACATTCGAGCGGATGTAGAAGTCGCTGTTGTTCCGCCAAAGTGTTGCAAGTTCGAATCAAAAAGAGGTAAGCGATCCGCATATAGCTTACTACTACTGCTGCAACCGGTGATTCGACCAGGAGAAGCGGTGCTAGCCTTCCGAGATGCCGACAAAGGCAACCGTGTTTTGAAGACTATCCAGGAAAATTGTGTGATCTTATCAGAAGAGGAGGGGTATATTGTTCTCTTTCTTGCTTTCACGCTTTGAATCTACTTTGTGTTGTTTATGCAGGCCTTGTATTGCAACTGCGGTGGAACGACCAAGAGCAAAAAAGTTTCCTGGACATCTTCCTGTTGAGAAGTACTGGCGGGTGCAGACGGAAAAATTTGTAAGCCTTCTTTTAACTCAAGTGAACCAGGCACTTAATCGCGTTTTGCAGAAAGAGGCAGTCTCCACAGCACACTGTTCCCAGCCGAACACCATCGAATACGAGATGGCACTCGAGTGGCGCCTCATGGATGAAGAGCACAAGTTGCAGATACAAACACTGAGGAAGGTAACGCCCGTAGTAGATTTTTGTTTTTTCGCGGATATTCATGTGAAAAACAATGCGCAGCAACAAGAACAAGAGGTGGCGGATCTCAAGGCAAAGCTTAGAATCACCAAAATATCGTAACGAGCGTCACTGAAGGTAAAATCACTTTCCAAAGCTCTTCAATCGTTTCTCATTTTCTCAATGTAGGTGATCGATCGTCCCAATAGCTAGACTTGACTGAGATACAAGTAAATGAGGTTGTAAGTAGTGCAGGGATCTCCAAATGTCCCTCCATTTTTGTTGATAGTGCCGGTAAGAGTTACGCTAAAGGTTTTAACAAATTTTTGCTTATCTCCAGCGCCAAAGAAAACTATGGGAATTTTCATTAAGTATCCGTATTATAAACGTGGCACTACAGCAAACTGCCACACGGCTATGACGCGGTGTCCATCGCGTCCGATGGGATTCCCAGCTGGACGACTGTGAGTTTGCCACGAAAGGTTGAGTATAAAGCGGGGCGCAGTTGGAGCAATTTGGTCTGTTACCGGGCTTTCTTCGCGGGAGGTGAAAAATTCAGGTATGTCTCTCATGATCCCTGTGGATTCCTATTTCTTGCTGGTGGGTTTGAGAATCCGTGTCCTTGCTGTGATGGGCGAATGGGTTCTCTGGAGTCGTTTCTCGAAAGGGTTCTAACAAGTCGTTCTTGTGTTCCAGGACTAGAGCTTTCGGGAGCTGCTACTGTTGAGGTGAGAATTCCAGCTAGGTACACAAGAATGCAGTGGTTCAAAGGGCGTTCGTCGTTCATTATTGGATCGGATAAATGGATGGGAGGTCAGAAGAGTGATAGCACCGCCGCTTTCGAGCGCTCTAACAGTCTGCCTTCTCCGGCACCACCGGAGGGTGTTACGAGAGAAGTGAACGGTATCCCGTCATCAGCAAAAGACGAGGTCGCTCAGTATGATCCGACAACGGGTCTGAAGGTGAGGTCTCCAACGCGTGACGAGAATTTGGACAAAGTTGCTGGAGCGACTTCGAAGCTCTATCCAGATATATATCACCCTCCTCCTTCCAAGGGTGCAGAGACTAGTGATGCGAAAGAGCCTCCTGTGGTGGAAGCATCTGAGGAAGTGCTGGTAAAGATCCCGGGGTGTCTGGCGCATCTCATCGACGAGCAGGAAAGTGTTATTCTGGCATCTGGCGAGTTCGTCCTGGTGAAGCTGCTGCAAAACGGTACAGACGTGGCGCTGTTCGCCAGAGTCGGTGATGAACTCCAGTGGCCCGTTGTGAACGACTTGCCTGCTACAAAGCTCGATCCATCGCACTACGTATTCTCGCTGCGTGTGGACGCCGACGACGACGAGAAGCCGCCCAAGGATTCGAAGGCAACTGAGACTCTCAACTATGGAGTTACGTTCCAAGTTGACGGCAACAAGGAGCTTCTCGGAGAGCTTGACAAGATCTTGGAACAGTACAGCTATTTCTCCGCACCAACCATGCTCCAGGGCTCGGAGGAAGATGTAAAGAAGGTGGATGGAGGCAAGGTACCTGAGGCGTCTTCGCGAGAGGTGGTGAGCTCGGACCTCCCTGGCAAGCCGGTTCCAACGGACGCCATCACCGAGAAGAAGCCATCCGAGGAGGTTTCTACAGCTTACTGGACGACCATTGCTCCCAACGTAGACGACTATAACAGCAGCCTGGCTCGAGCGATTGCCAGCGGAACCGGGCACATAATCAGGGGGATTTTCTGGTGCAGTGAGACGACAGTCACGAATTTGGAGAGGACTGGACGGCTTGTAAGGCGTGTTTCAGGAGCCTGCGGCAAGCCATCTGAGGTGAGCCCGCGGACAATGAGGAACATTCGCAGGTACGTCTCGTGTTTTTTTTTTCCAAGGTCTTGTTCTTTAGAAAAGCTAACGTTTCTTTGATGATCCATCAGAGCCAAGAGGGTGACTAAGATGTCGGAGAAAGTAGCGAAGGGAGTCCTCACGGGTGTCGTGTCAGTGACTGGATTCTTTACAACCTCGATTGTAAACTCGAGGGCCGGGAAGAAATTCTTCAAGATGTTACCCGGCGAGATTGCTCTCGCGTCTTTGGACGGTTTCGGTACGTGCTTAGTTGACACTGATGTACTCGTCTAACTGGATGTTCCTTCTACTTCGCAGGAAAAATTTTCGACGCTGTTGAGGTCGCTGGAACAAACGTTCTTAACACAAGCTCTGTGGTGACAACCGGCGCAATCTCTCACAGGTATGTTTCCTCTCTTCGTGAGATAAGGATGCATTTTCAAGTTGGGCCTGAAATGACGAACATCTTCCTCGCAGATTTGGAGACAAGGCTGGCGAGTTTGCGCACGAAGGCCTGGCCACCGCCGGCCATTTAGTCTCCACGGCATGGACCATTTCCAAGCTGCGCAACGCCATCAATCCCAAGAGCGTGATGAAGCCAACGTCTGTGCTCAAGACCGCCGCCAAGGCGGCCTCTCACGGGATCGAACCCAAGCGCTAGAAAAAAACTATGTGGCTTGTGTGCATAATAACAGGACGATCAAATAGAGAATAGAAATTCGATGCTTAGGAGTTCCATGGTTTGCGGCCAAATAGATTCTTTTAATACTAGACATAGTTTCTTTTAACACGACACTTGGCCTCCACACGACAAGAAAATGACACTGTACGCTCTTCTTATCCTTGGTTTGTGGGGTCGAGTCAAAGAAAAATCGCTTGGCGGGTCCACATGGCACGCGGGCATTCGGTGGGAAGCGACTATCCATGCCAGGAAGGGGCAACAAACACTAATTTTTTCTAAGAAGCAAGCTAGATCGCATGGCAGTTTTGAGGGGGATTTGCGGGAGTGGCTTGCTGCTGAGGGATCCAGCGCGTGGGAGCTCGGCTTTCTTGGGCGTCCCGGTTGTAGCGGCTAGATCTTCGCGAGTTTCCAAGGTCCGGGGAGGGGGGATTCGAGCTGTCAAGACCGAGAAGGTGGGAGCAGACTATGTCGAGATTCTGCCGTCGGGTGAGTGGCCCGAGAATTTCTCCATGCTCAACTTTGAGGATCTCTCGCTCCACTTCGCGCCCACGCTCTTCAAGGCCGAGGTATAATTTGCAGAGAGCTTTGTTGGAGCTTTGGAGTTGATGGAGTTTGATCTTGTCTCAGGCTCAACCATCAACCCTCCTCGCGGATGTGATGTCCGGGCTTCGCTTCTCGGCGGCGCAGGACGATCTTCTCGAGGCGATCGAGCACTGCTTTGACGAGGTTTCTGGAGTTCCTGTGCTGGACGAGGAGCGCAAGTGTATTGGAGTGGTGTCTAGAAAGGACCGAGACAAGGCCACCAACGGGGTAATACAAAAACTCTCAAACAGTCTCATCTAAGAAATGTGTGAATCTTTTCAGCTGAAATCGCCAGTCTCTGAGGTGATGAGCTCACCAGCAATCACATTATCTGCCGACAAAACTGTTTCAGGTGAATCAAAAGCTTCATTGAATTTTTTTTTCTTTTATTGAAGTTCTTTTTCTTTTTTTTTCTAAGATGCTGCTGTTATCATGCTTAAGAAGAAGATCCATAGGATCCCTATAGTAAACGATTCCAACGCAGTTATTGGTGAGTAGTAGTTTAGCTTGAAACTTCTTACCGTCGTTGTCTATTGTGCAGGCATGGTCACCAGGACGGACATTTTCACAGCACTGGAGGGAAAACATGAATGATATCTTAGATGTAATTACAGACCTAACTTCTTTAATGAACGTGCATTGTGGTCAGTCAAGCACAAACTTTCATCTTGGAGGCATTATCTTGGGAGTATTAATCTGTGTCAATAAACATGGATTGAGCAGAATATAATCTTTTACAATATTTATGAATCATATTGGGAAAATTACTTTATGCAATTTCGATAATTCCAGACATTGATCATTCATCCTAACTCAACAAAAATAAGATATACATTCTGAAAACTATCTAAATATTTTCTCCGTAGCCCAGTGTTGTGGATAGCCTCAACGATCTAGAGCTTCTACAAGTTGTGAACAAGTGATATAATGCCTAATCCCACTGAACTAATATTATGAGAAAATTACTCATATATCTAAAACTTCATATATTGACTCATTCTAAACTCAAAAGAAAATTGAAGCTTACATTTTGAATGACTTTTGATTTCCTTGATCTTCTCTGTGTGAAAGGCTCGTTGGAGCCAGGATCCATTTCCTTGAGATGCATTCAGCCTTGATAAGCATCTTGTAAACATTTCCAAAAACCAAAAAGAGAATCAACATGGGTAAGTTATAAATGCTCTACTTAGCCTCAAGGATCTAGAGCTTTAACAACACTTTTGTCAACCCCTTCCATATCATAGCTTTGATATGGAAGGGGTTGACAAAATGCTGTCATCTAGATCAGGTTGAAATGTAAGAAACCTATCCATCTCCATTGTTGACTTACTAGGGCTGATTAGCATGATTACAACCTAAAAGAATGCCCATCAGATTTACTAGCCAAATTGATCTGCATGAAATGTGTGTGCACTTATTTATTCTTTTAAAAACTTTGTCCCTGTGCTTCAAAACTTATCAATATAACTAAAGTCTTTATTACAGTTTTACTGAAAGAAATGCATGCATTTTCTTCCATGGGAGCAATTGAGTGCCACCACTAGGCATGGATTTCATTATAGTTCGACTCTGTAGACCTAAGATGGTGATAGCTATGGTGCTGGTTTACATCCCACAACAACATGCATTGACTTTATTAAGTAATATAATACTTGAATTGATGACATAAAAGTTTTGAGATCCAAGTGATTAGAAAGTAGCCATAGTGACTCCAATAGATATATTCCTTTTTCTTCTAGAAGGAAAAACAGCTCTTTTACTTTTGCATCAACAACTTTAAGCTTAGACTTTAGCTCTTCTACTTTGCTAAAATAATAATTAACACTCAAATTGTATTCAAAAATAAAATGAAATAATTTACCTTAATCTTATTTTGTACATGAAGGATGGTTAAATGTATTTGATGTCCATAAAACATTATTAGGAAATTGAGTTAAATAAATTACTAAGTTACAATCATTTTGAACTGTTAAAAGTACAGATAACATACATAATGGTTGATGTAAACAATATTTATTACTAGCCCATACTACTACCTTTTTAAAATAAAAAACTAAATTTCCATCATTTTGTAACATAAGTTTACAATTTATAGCATCCTTTATAGATGTTTTAACTTCCCAAATTTTTTCTAATAATGAATATAGAACTATCTTACAGTTAGATTCTA